CGGCTGCGAAATGGATAGAACTGAGAAAAAAGGAAGAAAGAACGTCAACAAACGATCTCTCATGCACCAATACACATCGTTTTTCAGTAATTGTGTAACGTTTTCATAGCAAAAAAAACAAAATTGAACTTATTTCACATGCATTTCATTTAGCGCAAAGATATAGAGGACCTTTACACACAGCAATAAATCTCGGATGCCCAAGCATTGCGACCACGCTTGTGCACCTTACACGGGCCTGTAATCCAGCTTTGTCTCCAGTCGTTTGGCGTCACCAACCTAAAATTTGCAAATCTTATGTACACAAAACTTCCTGAACCCGAGATGTTATAACCATTTAAAAAAGTATTTCGTAGGTTAATATATTAATGATATGGTGCTGTACGCAACAGAAAAACCATCCGTTTGTACAAACCTTGCGGACAGCCTTCATGAAATCTTCTTCTATGACATATTCACGCTCTGCTCTAATCGCAAAAAGACCTCAAGCAAACAAGAACAATCGCATTAACAAGTAGTAATGAATGAATGTGAATCCATGAACGTGAAGAAAACAGGCGGAAACAAAACAAACCCGCTTCCGTGCAAACGTTGCGAAGATCAGCACAGGAGAACCCATCGGATAGCTTCACCACAGCGTCATAATTTATGTCTCCACTCTTCGTGATTGGATTTGCGTGAATTTTCAACACCTAAGGTAAGGAAACAAGGCGTAATTAGCAAAAAACGTTATTCTGAATAAGTGCTGTCACTGGAGAAATATGACACAAAGTTTAACCATAAAAAAAGTCGCTCAAGCTTAAGAACCGGTAACGTCATAATCGATCTAAATAAGAGAAAATCCGGTTACGATGATCCACTTGACGAAGCCATTTTTCGTTTGACCCCTCCTTCCCATAGTACGAGTTCTAAAATATAATGTAGACCGCAATTCAGAGAGCCATTACAGGCACTTGTGTGGGCAGCCGTTTCCACAGGGATTCTATCCATGAGCAAAAACCTATATCAAATCGGGAAAGCTTTTGTGACTGCTATTTCGCCAAACAAAGCAAAAATGAATGGCTTCCGTTCTATAAGTGTGACATACAGCAATATAACGGGAACAAATGCAGAGTTGACTGGTAGCAGCTTGAGTAATCAACTCGACGACCAGCAGAACTAAATAATACTAACAGGTGATCCCCATTTCATATTGTTGGTGGTGGGTCTCCTTACAACAAAAGAAGTAACTTCAAAAAAAATGTCATCGAAAAAGTAGTGCTCTCGTACACAGGGAATGTCTATGTAACACATTTCACGAAAGAATTTGGTAGAAGTTGTCAGATTCGCGCAGATGCGGTTTCGAAGCCACATTTCCACTCTTGGAATAGAAATGAATGTGAGACCAGATAACTGTGGGTTAACCAAATATTTGGAGCATGAAACAAATATGACTTGCCTCAAGTCTCGCCTCATCATTTGGTAAGGGAATTTCAACTTTACGATCAAGACGGCCAGGGCGCAACAGAGCAGGATCAAGTGTGTCAGGACGATTTGTTGCCATAATGATCTGACGAGTTTATTACGAGTATTACATTAAAATGAAGAAGCAAACATTGATTCATATCCGTAAGGTTTGCATGAAAATCTCACTTTAATTCTCCCAAGCGAATCAAAACCATCGAGCTGGCTCAGCAACTCCAACAATGTTCTTTGAATTTCACGATCGGCAGAAGTGCCCTCCGAGAACCGACGCCCGCCTATATGAAATAACGGCAACACCACAACATCAATTGAGAAAATTTGGCAAAGATATAAAGCAAGTAGATCGCCTTTAGAAAGCCAAGAATTGAGAAAATCGACTTCAAAAAATCGCACAGCAAAAGTAAAACCAATACGCATGAAAGAAGAATGTGGTAAAATATGCAAACACACCTATGGCATCAACTTCGTCCATGAACACTATGCAAGGCTGATGATCATGCGCGTAGTTGAACATCTCCCTGATCATACGTGCGGATTCTCCAATGTATTTGTCTACAATGGTAGACGAAACAACTTTTAGGAAGTTACAGTCTAGCTGTGAAGCAACGGCTCTGCAAATGCATGGAATTTAAAGGCAACAAGAAACAAAACAAATGAAATATCTTGTAAAATAATAAAGGAGAACGTTCGGTGTGGATTAATGGAATGGAGTGGCGTGCAATGCAATCGTCTTCACGCGGCAATCCAGGGGCAACAACGAATTACGTATTTGGTTTCTACAGTGGTTTGCTAGAGTCTTCCGATGCATACGGTTTATGTTTCCATCATGTGGTTGCCAGCGATCTGCCGACACCGGCACGTAAGGAGCATTTGGTATGCCGGAGACGGAGAATCCAACACACAATTCTCTGTGTAGTGCAGGGCAGTTCTAATCGAGCAGCTACGCATACGCTTGAATGATATTCAAAATAATTTCATGACAGACCTAGCCAAAAGTGTTTTGCCGGTGCCTGGAGGTCCATAAAGAAGACATCCCTTGGGAGGAGTAATTCCTACACGACGGAACAATTCCGGGTTTTTCAATGGAAGCTCGATAACCTGAAATTCCAATTTTAGAAAAAAAATTTTGTGCTCTAAAAAAACAGTCGATAACACGAATAAGTTTACAGAAAATATTCGAAGCTAAATCCGAAATATTTCTAGAAAATGTGCAAAGGCATCTGGCCTTCAGCGATAACCCCTTAGACGATCTGCTGCTCTTGTAAAACGAAGTGCATGCATGCGGTTGTTTTTCTACAAGGAGTTTCTAAACAGTGAAGTTGGTAACGCATTCCAACCTCTCTGAGCTGACGGATTTGCTCGTCAAGACCGCCAACATCGGCATAGGTGACGTTGCCTGGATCTTCGTGTGACATTTTGTAAACCAACGGGTCCACTTCACGAGGTAGTTGCCGCCTAAAGTATAAGGCTCACCGAAACGATACCAATGACGGCAAAGGAAACTTCTTCATTGAGGGCATACTAATTTAGGAAGACAAAACGGAGCACTTTGTGATTCGGAATATCTCATCACTAAGTTGGAAAACCTGTGCATATAATCGAAACATGATACACCAACATCGGAAGACCCACATAATCGTCAAGGTGGTCACGTCAAGAGCAACTCGGGTGCCCGGTTTCAGTTGTTCCTTGTTTATGGACCGACGGCATCCCACTACATATCGTGGTCCATTTGTGGTCTACAAAAATAAATGCGTCTGCCTTAACTGCTTCAGGCGTTCCTTGGAGAAATAATAAACAATTAGTAGTATAGAACGGGGTACCACGTAACATTCAGCAAAACAGAAACACTTTGGGCGGAGGAACCTTGACAATGAACTTCTCCTCCGCGAGTTGTTTCAGCACCTCACCAACAATTTGACCAACGGAGTGCAGCGATTTGATATCGTTTTCTGATTTTTCGAGAGCTTTCTGCAGCTCACCTTCCTAAATAGCATCATGACAACTCTTTGGTAGTGCACAATTACCAAGAGAACTGATGCACTTAGTAGCATTACAAGGCTAAGCCTCCTTTCGTTCTCACCGGTAAAGAATGCGAAAGAAGACTGTCTTCGCAGATCAGATTACCTTCTTTCTTAGCAGTTTCAGCTGTTGCTCAATGTCTCTGTATTCAACCAACTTCTTCCTGTACTTAGCCAGTTCACGAGCTTTTTCCTCATCTGCAGGACTGGCGACTGCCTGTCCAGTAGACACTGCCATTCCCTGGAGAATGAAACACTTTGAATTTTATGATTTTTTAATAAAACCATTTAAAGATCGTCAAACTGTCATAAGGTGATAAAAATAATGTGAAAAAAGCTTGAAAGAAAGGAGGTTGGAAACCATTAGAAAGTAGGAGAAAAGGATAGTTCTTCACGGACCTCAGTGACGAAACGCAATGAGTGGTGTGCGTAAAAAAAAACAGAAAAAGACCAGAAACTATCATTTTTCGCCATCAATGCTCTATTACGTTGTGGATTTTAACCCATAACGACCAGCTACCCAAGTTCGTGGTCGGCCCAACCGACTACAAACAATTCTTTGGTGGCTGCAGACTGTCAGGTTTTTCAACAACAAAAGTTAATTTTTCAATAGCCAGAGTGCTTAAGGGGTTGTCAGCACTACAAAATTGCAGAACAAACTTTGATTAATCGTTTGTGAGTGATATATGCGTTAATGCTTGCTAGGTTTCGTTATAGTCCCACTATGCAAAAGCATTGCCGTCAGTACTTTGGAGTATCCTAGACCCCAAGTTGAGTCCACTTCGATATTTTTACACCCACACATTTCATGCGATAACAATGGTAATTTAAAAAAGCGGCCTATTAGTTGTTAGTCAAATTGTCGGTTGTGAACGTTAGAAAAAAGGATTCAAAGAGTTTCTGCAAATATTTAAGCTCAGAGAACGGCTTTTCCGACCCGGTCGCTATCATTTTGATCTACTTTAGAATGGCTATCGAATGACTGTGCCTAGTGTTCTAAAAGAAAGCAACCCAACAAACTGAATTTGAACATTGTATTGTCCATAATACAATCCATTGGTCCAGTTCGCAATGCAGGGTGTTACAGGGTGCGTACAGGAGGTTATGGGTTAAACAACAACGTCTATAATATTATTATTTAACATTAAGGGTGTTATAACAAAAAAAACTAAAGTGGTAAAACTTTCGCCCAAAGCCACGAAGCAATCGAAATATGGATGAAAATAAAGGACCGCCTACGCATTGCCGCACCATTGGCAATGGAGCGCGAAAACCGCCGGTGTCGGTGGCAATGTGGGCTCAAAATCTCCATGATATCCATGATTCGTCCTGAAGTGCATCCAGTGTAGAACACAAAAACATCAGCTCAGATAATCCTATTGTGACATGGCTTCGAGATTATGCCTCTCTGAATTTGAAATCATAGGGTTTGTTAACTACGAGACCGCTTGTAGACGAGGTTGATGTTTAGACTGAAGCAACGAGTTTACTGCATCATTATTTGTGGCGCTGTCGTTTCCAGTTCGAATGCCTTCGTTTTAGTCCAACGTTTGGATTTGATTGGAAATCGCCCATGATTGTAGCCTTAGCTACTAGAGACGGCTAATCTATGGCCGATGATGATGACGTTCGTTAAGGACATCCGTCAAGGTGTGCTTTAAAAATAAGTAAGTAAAGAAGTAATAAAGCACATGCTATCCTATTTTTTCCANTAGCCCAGCTAACCTTAAGAGCGCAAAAAGCATCCACTCAATCAGCATTCTACAACATTCACAAATGAGACGAAATCCTGAAGCAGTCGCCGAAACAACACGCGAAACGTTCGGAAACGTTTGTGGACGATGAATATGGGAAAAGCGAATCGAATGCAGGAGGTGCTGAGATCCGCACAGCTAATGCGATGACGGGTCATGTAAAAAATACATACATGCACAGAATTTGTATCCCACATAAAGGGCGATTTCGATCAAAATTCCTCCTACATTACTTCTTTATCAGAAATTAGCGGCGTACACGATTTACTTAAGAACGATTTTGCGGTCGCTAGATTGTTTTTCACGTGGGTTCGCGAGCGAGACCTGCCTAGAGGTCGTAAAATTATTTTGAAATAAGGGTTTCAGATTACATATGATAGTGAGGCTTTCGTATTTTCGGTTCATCTTCGGAATTTTGGAATTCATCCAAAACGCCTCAAGAGTTTTGCGTGTTGATGTTTTTGATTCCTGCGCTAGGATCCGCACAGTCACTTCAAAATCATCGCCGTTGTGCTTTTGTGCTCTATGCGTACCTAGAGGAGTGTTTAGACGGATTTTAGGTTTCCCATGTAGATGTTCTTTTATGCGGATGCAAAGTGGTCTATCCGTTTCCCCCAATATATTCCTCGCCGCATGCGTTACATGAGATCAAGTATATTATACCTAAACTCATACAATCCCCGTCTTTCCCGTTAGGACAGATCATACAGTTTTCTGAACTGCACAAACGATCATAGAGACGGTTTCGAACTAACTGGCGGCGTAAGGTATTGGGTAGGATGTCAATAATCGTTACATAATTTTCAAGACCACTCTTTCTTAGGCACCTCTTCATGGCGTATCTTACTTCGTTTGACATGAAAGGTGGCTTAAAAGGGATCTTACTTGGGTTCGAAACGTTACGCTGTGGAACAATTCTATTTTAAGTAACTCCCACGTCCGGCTTTGTGTTAACTTCGGCATTGATTGAATAATTCTTTCCACTCCTGTTTAGCGAACACGAGGTGTTATTTTAAGAAGGGCCGGTCTAGAGAATTAAGTAACGATAATTGAAATGCCACCAAGTAATCTAAGACACCAGCTAGTTCATAAACGCCTATACGACCGTCCATGTACAGCGCAAAATTGCATAATTTGCCTCAATGGTAGAGAAGGTGACTGCATGAGTTCGGGTACAGTCTATCTGATCTCTTGAAAACGTGCGGAGACGAATATATTGGCGAAACGGATAGACCACTCTGTTTGCGTATAAAAGAACACCTAGTAGGCAAACGTAAGCCAAATACTCCACTAGGCACGCATAGGACGCAGAGACATAACGGAGAAGGTTTTGAAGTAGGGGTTACGATCCTCGAACAGAAATCGCGAACACAAGCCGGCAAAAC